GCCCAGGCCCAGAGTTCAGGCCCCATGAGAGGACCTCCCCCCCCAAAAAAAGAAATAACTAAAGTAAAAGGTCTGAGGGTGTGGCTCAAGTGGTAGAGCTCTTGCCTAGCAAATATGATGCCCTGGGTTCAAAACCCCAGTAATATACACTTTTACTCCCTCCCCACAAAGAAGGAAGAGAAAATTAAAATGTAGAGTAAACAGTAATGGCACGCCAAATTGGATTGGAATTTTTGGTTTAGATTCAGTGTAATTTGTGATGCTACAACTTTTCTTAGGTATATTTTATATTTTTCGTAGGTATATTTTATAAGTAATTTCCCTTTTCTGAAATCTTTCTAGATTAAAAATTCAGGTGAATATAATGAATGTTTTAGAGTCAGGATTTGGAAAATCAAGTAAAATTATGCTGTGGAGACAAAGTTAAGAACCTATCAAATGGAAAGAAGACTGTACTAAAGATCATAAATTAAATACTAAAAATGTTTTTGTGTTTGCTGAATGACAGCTGAATATGCACAGCCTGCATTCCAAGAAGTGAGCTCTGCTTAGAGCCATTGAACATATCTGTGAAGGGACTTACCTGAACATTAGTTATGTCCGAGGATTTAGACTTCTTCCCTTCGGGAGCATTGCTATCTCCATGGCTTTCTAGTGTGCTCATTGCAGGGAAAACTGGAGTGAAGACCGGTGTCTCCAGTGTGAGAGGAGGAGGCAAACTGATCACTTCTTCAGATTCATGGGAGTGGTGAGAGTTTTTGTGGTGTTCGTGGTGATCATGGTGGTGTGAATGGTGCTCATGATCACTATCATGATCGCTTTCATCTGACTCAGTGAAGTCTTGGCTGTCCATGTGGTTTCCAATATCATCCTCATTCAACTCATCCATGTGGCTTTCATTGGAATTACTTGAGAAGGTCTAAGAGTTAAAGATGATTCCTCAGATTAGGGCTTGAGTTTGGTTTTCCCTTAGTCTTTCTAGTCTTTTACTTGCTTGCTTTTTTATTTGGTATCTTTTTTGTGTGTTTAAGAACACCTATAGCATTTAGGAGCAAATCATTTTAATAAAAGAATAAATGAAATCATATTCTAAAGGGATTTTCCTATTTCCCAATCCAGTAATCCTACCTACCCAAGAGTCTGACATCTAGGGGGCAAGGTTCAAATCTAGCTCAGGAAGAAAAGTCTGTGAGGCTCATATCTGATTAACCACTCAAAGGCTAGAAGTGAAGCTGTGGCTCAGTTGATAGTATGTCAATCTTGAGCAAAGAACCCAAGCAAGAATGAAAGGCCTGAATTCAAGACTCAGTTCTGGCACACACATACACAGTTTTTACACACATACACATATAATTTTTACAAGTATTTTAAATCCAAATACCTAAGTAAAACATTTATATTGATACTATTTCTTTGGTCTGAGGTACACTGAGGTTCAGTGATACAGCACTCTCAAGCCTTGGGTTCAATCCCCAGTACCACACACACACACACACACACACACACACACACACATATGCACACACACACAAGGAGATTGTTGATAAAATTAATAATAAAATGTGCAAGAATACTTGCATAATTCAGACATGATATAGTTTGATAAACTCAGTGGAATAATAGATACAGACAAATGTGATTATTCTGTGTGAAATGAAAAGTCTCAAGGTAACTAAGAATCTATTTTACGTGTATCAAAACCTATAACCCCTCCCTACTATCACATGGATGGTCAAAAAGTAACTACAGCTCAAATCTGGGCATTGAATTACACAGTATTTTAAATTGTAACAGGAAATATGTTAGGTCCTTTTCTACTTTTCTTTAAGAATTTTTAGCATCTTCAAATGGAATCTTAAGGAAAATATATTTACTTTGCTCAGTAAATATATTCATGATCCTAGTTAAAAAGAATACTTCAGAAAGCATTGTGCTAGAAAAAGGAGCATGCAAATGGAAAAATCTTAGCTTTGGGATACATTAATGCCATATTTTTCAGATATTAGATAAACATTTAGAATTCTTTCAGTAAATTGTAGGAGGCTTAAAGTTTCAGGGGATAGACCTGGATAGACAGTTCCTGCAACACCAAACTTATCCGAAGTATCTTCCATTTCTCACATTTAGTAAATGTAAGGCCTTTTTAAAATTTTTTCCTGAGCAGGTTTTGCAATGGAGATTAGTTGGAAAAATTGTGAGTGGTACTTTGTCAAAGAGGGCCAGGGCCTCCTTGTCTCCAGTGACAGAACTGTAAAACTCACCTCTGGTTGCAAGACATCAGTTTCTTCAGAGGACAGCACATTCTGAGGAGAGAAGGACACATTAATATATGTATTACACATGCCCAGCTTTCTGATACAAAAACAAAGCCAGTTTTCAGCCTCAGTAGGGATATTTTTCAACACAAGAATCTAACCAGGGGATTATTTGGTGATCTAGGCACATAAGCCCCACCAGGTGGGAAATCCAGTTGACCTGTCATAAACCCCAATAGACAACTTAGTTGCTGTCTATTGTTTAGGTTTGCTTTGGGTTTTTGTTGTTTTTGCTTCTGGTGCTGGTAGTGGAGCTTGAACTTGGAGCCTGAAGGCTGTCCTTCAGTGATTTTACTCAAGACTAGCACTCTACCATGTAAGCTCTACTTCTAGCCTTTTGGTGGCTAATTGGAGATAAGAATCTTACTGACTTTCCTGCCTGGGCTGTATTTGAACTGTAATATTCAGATCTCAGCCTCCTGAGCAGTTCAGATTACAGCTAGGATTACAGGGAGTCACCTCTCCCGGCTTACTGTTTAATTTTAGGAAATTTAGAAATACCTGTGGTGCTAGGAGATTATTCTTCTCAGACAGATCAAGCTTTAGCCATGAGGCTTCAGAATCTGGATATTTTTTGTTAAAAAGCTGTGAAAGAAACAGAAAGAAAGAAAGAAAGAAAGAAAGAAAGAAAGAAAGAAAGAAAGAAAGAAAGAAAGAAGGAAGGAAGGAAGGAAGGAAAGAAAGGTAAATCTTTGTCATTGGAACAACCCTAAACAACTCAAGGATCCTAACTTGATAAACTGGAAAAACGACAACACTTTGCTAATCCCAATGTATAAACACATTATATGTTCATATTCAGCCAGATACAGATATCCTTTTTTAATAAAATAATTAAAAACATATTTATTGTAAAGGTGATATACAGAGATGTTACAGTTACGTATTTCAGTTAATGAGTACATTTCTTTTTAAACAGTGTTACCCCATCCTTCCTTTTTCTCCCAGTTTTTTTTTCCTCCAGATCCCCATTTCCCTCCAAGTTGTACAGTTCAACATTTCTAACATAGTGTCTAGTATCCCACTGCTTCTGTGCTTCCCCTTCCACTCCCCAATTCAGGTAAACTAACATACAAGACAAAGGGTACAGAAATCAAAAACTGACCAAAGGGGAAAAAAACAGAAATAAAAAAATGAAAAGCAGGGGCGGGGAAGGTGGCTCAGTGGTAGAACGCTAGCCTTTAGCTGAAGAGCTGAGGGACAGTTCCCAGGCCCAGAGTTCAGGCCCCATGACCGGACCCCCTCCCAAAAAAAAGAAAAGCATAAACAGTACAATAACAAATCTCTTGTTTCCTTTTCTTGCGGTTCTTGTCAATAAGTATCTTTTCTTATTTGCCAGGCCTGGGACTTGAACTCAGGGCCTGGACACTGTTCCTGAGCTTCTTTTTCTCAAGGCTGGCACTCTATCACTAGAGCCAAAGCACCACTTCTGGCTTTTTCTGTTTATGTGGTACTGAGGAATTTCAGCCAGGGCTTCATGCATACTAGGCAAGTACTCTACCACTAAGCCACATTTCCAGGCCGATAAGTATCATTTTATAATGATATAGCTATTGAGCCTTTCTGACTCTCTCCTAATAATAACCTCCTTTGGTCTCACTGTATGACTGAGTCCTGTTTAATTTATCATGTCCAAATGTAATATTTTTTTGTCTTTTACTATTTATCAGGTTTCGCAATTCATTTTTTTAAACCTTCGTGGCGGGGGCGGGGGCATGCACACCTGCCAGTATAGGGGATTGAGCTCAGGGTCTTGAACTCTTGCTTGACTTTTTTTGCTCAAGGCTTATAGCAGTTTTCTGGTTAATTGGAGATAAGAGCCTCCAAGAGTTTCCTGCCTGAACTGGCTTTGAACCTTGATTCTCAAATCTCAGCTCCTGACTAGGATTATAGGCATGAGCCATCAGCACCAGACTCATTTACTGGATTCTTAATAGCACTAATAGTGGCTTAGGCACTTTTTCGAAAGGCTTTATAAATACTAGTTCATTTGATCCTCTCAAATGCCGTGAGATAGACCACACTATTTTTTCTATCTTACCACTCAGGGAGCTCAGCCACAATGTGGTTCAGTGGTAATAAGAGGCCGAGCCAGCCACCAGGCCAGATGAATTCTCTGTCTCTGTGTCTTCTATATGTGTGTTCATGTGTTGGTGTGTGTCCAAGCATGTTTGTCTCTGTTGCAATCTCTCTGCTTTGTATGTGTGTATGTGTTCATGTGCACATGTTTCTCTCTCACACACACACTGATGGTACATGTAATACAAGTTCAGGAAAACCAACTCTTAGTTAAATTCATAATTTAAAAATAATATAGAGGAAACATATATAGATATATATGTCTGTAAAATGAACATATTAAAAGAATTGAGCAATCTGACACCAACAGCTAGTGCAGCTAGTGCTCATCTTCTGGGTTCTAACCTTACAGACTTTTCTGCATTTGCTCTGTCAGAGTTTCTGGGATTCTAAAGGGCTGACTGAGACTTGAACTCTTCACCCCAAGGCTTCATGGTTCTACATCCTTGCCATATTTTATTCTATTTTTACGAACATTAGTTCTTGCCTTTAGTTTGGCCTCTGTCTTACCAGGAAATGTTACATTCCTGGTTCATTATTGTGATTAACACCTGTGTTATCAAATGAGATAGAAAATGGATGTGCCCACACTTACACTCCCACACAAACCACATACAAACACCTCTTACTGTCTTCATTAAGCCATAAAATCCATGCCTACAGTGACCCCCAGGCAGCACAACATTGGCATTCATTGTGTTCATCTGGAATTGAACTCTCTGTTCTCTTTTGTCTTTGCTCCAAGGACAAAGCTCACTTGTTATTTGGCTGGCACAGTTTTATCTATTGTGGAGGGGCAAGTACATGGATGATGCTGGTCAAATTATTGTAATGAATAAAGAATTGGGTTTGGTCTTAGGCTTAGTTAGAAAAATGTCAGCAGATAAGCACAATAGATACAAATGGCACAAATAGACTTTCTTTTCACAATGAGCTCCTTAGTAAATATCTTTGTGGGCATACTAACAGTTCTGGCCAGTGTTTGAGGTGAATTTTAAACTGCTTTACTTAGTAAAGCAGCAAGTAACATTTTCTGTTTCTAGAACATGTTGACTCATGAAAAAGTCACACACATTTATAAAACTCATCTGATATGAGCAATGATAACATGGAGCATTGTTTTAAATATCCATAAGTCTAATTATCAAGCCTATATTACAGTAGATAGTGGATAAATACTTAAAATTAACAATCTTGAGGGTAAAGTGATTAGCAAGCTTGATTTTAATAAGCAATTTTTGTAGCACCCCTTGGAATAATTGCAAAAATGCTTGCATGGAATTGATAAACCCAGAAAATGCCTACCTGATTTTCCTCAGAGCTGCCAGACTCAATCTGTTTAACATTGGAAAGAAGAAAGGAAAAGAAAAACAATGTTAATGTATTCTTAGCATAATTCATTGATGCTTTTCAAGAATTTTCCCTAAGATTCTGCTGTACTTACTGGCAGGGAATGGGTAATGCCTATGAGGCAAAAGAAAATCACTTCAATTCTCATGATTGTGATTTTTCCTGGAAAACATTTGAAAGGAACATTTAATATGTTTAACATATAGCTTTTTCATACTGCTGCATGACAAAATCATCACAAGCAAAGATTATTATAGTGGAACTTTTTTACTTCTTAGAGGACACTTTTCTTTTTACTGTGACGTTCTTTTGAGTTAGTATCTGCAGTTTCCTCCCTTGTCTCTCACTTGACAAGAGACAGGGGAATTTTACACATCTATAGTTACTCAACTTTAAATTTAGAGTTCCAGAGATTCTACCATTACTCACTTATATTTCCAGCTACGGAAACCCCAAAACAGATCAGAAAGTAATTTAATAAATTCAAATAATAAACTAATACAAGAATACATTTTTCAAGGAAGAAAAGAAAACACGGATATAAAACTATGAAAGAAATTTGTTTTGTCCATTTTTCTAACATGCATTTTAGATGTGATTTTTAGTTTAAATTATTAAGAGGGTGCTACTTAGGTGAACTGATAACCATTTTGGAAGTTAGCTATTTCAGAAAAATACTTTAGAAATTTTAAGTGAAAAGGAAACAAACAAACAGCCAGCAACTTTTCTATTTGTGATAAGAAGTCTACATAGTGCCAAGCAGGTTTCTTGGTGAAAATTTGGGCTTTGAGTTTTATTTTCCTTGAAAATAAAATAAATTAACTCATTAAAAACTAACATTATTGATGGCTTACATTATCAAAGATGATCCTTCTTTTATCTGCCTTCATAATAACTACTGAAAGTGATGTTGCTATAATTAATTATTCCAAAGAAGCATAGAATTTTCCCTTTTTTTCTATTGAGAACAGTGATTTCAGTGTTTTTGGAGAAGGATAGAAGTTTTTTAAGATTATATGCATATTTTTGAATTATTTCAAAATACCTGGAAACTTTAATGTATATGTGTATACACACACACACACACACACACACACACACACACACACACACACACACACACACACACACACACACACATGACCTGCTTATTGGAAAGACTATGAGAATTCAAGACAGACTAACAGCATTACAGCCAAAATAATCTTCCTAAATCTTCAATTTCCCCATTCAATTAAAAAGCATATGCCCAGCTACACAGCTGCTACAGGCTTACCTTGGCCAGTGAGAGTCAGAGCCAGAGGATGCCGTGTTCCCTGCCTGCTCCTGCTGCTCACAGGCCAGACCTCCCAGAATTTAAAGGTTGCTCCATACACTCTCCACCAACACAGGGAGGTGGAGTGTGATGTGTCAGGAGGTTTTTGCCACTGCCCAGCCCACTTGCTCCCACACTTCCTCTTCTGGAATTGTGATTGAAAAAAAATAAACCAAAATACTAAACCAAACACACACACACACACACACAAACACACACACACACTTCTACAGCTAAAACATTAGTTGTATGCTTTTCATAGGTAGAATTGAGTGCTTTAAATAGTTCTTATGAAGATTTTATTTACAATTTCTGAGTTAATAGAAAAATCTTCAAGTAAGATCTAACAAATTAAATAGGATGGATTTTTTAAGTTACAGATGAAGTTTATATCTGCAACCACATTTGTCTCTATCATAGTTTTGCATTGAAAAAAATGTGTTATTTAAAAAATAATAGTGTTTCAAATGTAAAATAGTTTTTATTCACTCTTGTTAAAGTAAGTTGATAAATGATTTTCCAAAGAACAAGTTTTATCATACTTTTTTTTCTCCTCTCTTTTTGGTGCCTGTCCTGGGGCTTAAACTCAGGTACTCAGGGACTTGGTGCTATACCTGAGCTTCTTTTGCTCAAGGCTAGCACTCTACCACTTGATCCACAGCTCCACTTCCAGCTTTTTTTGGTAGGTGAGTGGAGATGAGAGTCTCATAGATTTTTTCTGCCCAGACTGGCTTTGAACTGTGATCCTCAGATTTAGGCTCCTAAGTAGCTAGGATTGCACCTATTATTGCCTGTCTTCAGGGTTGTTCAGAAGTGTGGGTTAGTGTACATGACACTAGTAACATGTGGCATATATTAGGTGTGATGTCCCTGCATACTTTAAGGATTGTGTGTGTTAATTATGATGGACATTTTTGGCAAGAGAAAGTCATTCTGATATGTAAATAGAATGTGCTCTTAGAATTAGCATACATGTGAGATCTTTAAACTATATACATTAAAGAGTAGCCTTTGCATCTCTATATGAATACAATGCATTTCTGAATTGTCCTTTTCTAGAATATATGGTTAGCTACTTAATACAAAAGAAAAAAATAATGTCCATATTAACAAAGCTTTACTGAGAAGTTAAAAAGTGTTTGAGAGAAAATTATGGGTCAAGTCTGAATAGTAGAGCACAATTCAAGTATAGCTGAAGTAGAGCTCAATTCAGGTAGAACTGTTGGTCTATTTTAAATAATATTATCTTGACATGACTTTGTGCTCATTGTTTTCTTAGTTGTGAAAGGGAGAGCACACTATTTCTGTCACACTCCCTGTGGGAATAGATGAAAGGTAATCTCTACTATCATATTAATTCTAAATGTCAGTTCTGTTTGCCAGTTGCTGTTTTTAAGGTATATATATATATCCTACAGGATCCGTAGTATAGATAATCCATAGGTTTTCTTTTTTCTTTTATGCAAGTCCTGGGGCTTGAACTCAAGGCTTGAACATTGTTCCTGATCTTCTTTTGCTCAAGGCTATCACTCTACCACTAAAGCCACAGTGTCACTTGCAGCCTTTTCTGCTTATGTGGTACTGAAGAATTTAACCCACGATTTCATGCATGCTAGGCAAGCACTCTACTACTAAGCCACATTCCTATCCCAATCCATAGGTTTTCTAAATACTTGGTGAGGTAGGAAATATATCTCTTAGAAGTATTACTAATGAATTGATCTTGTTGAATAAATTTATAAATTACTTATAGCTATAAACATTAATCACACAGGATGTAAAGTTGTGTTTTTAAAATGCTTTCCCCCTCTTTAAATACATTGTCCACATAAGCTTGTCATGTTTGCAATTAAGTGGCGGGAAGTCCACAATTTATAAAAACAACAAGATTTCTGCAGAGCTCTTTGTGGTTTACCCTGTGCCTACGGGAATGATTCAGTATGAATTAGCGAGTTATAGGAACAGATGTTGCTGGAGCTCAGCCATCACCATGTGAACTATATGACTCTGGTAGGGATATCTTGTTGTAGTTCCACAGGGCCACATGATGGAGCACTTCTGAAAATTACTCTAGACCATAATCTTGCTACTACTTTTTCTCATGACCGTAACAGAGAACCCCAGCCTGCTCCATGACAAAACTATTGCACAGACATGAAGGCCCCTGTTTCTTGAAATGCCAGAGGAGGAAATATTTTTACAACTAGGACTCTCTACAAAATTGGGACCAGAGACTCAATGAACTAAAGCACAGCTCACACACAAAGCTCTGTGGATGCCCTCAGCAATCTCAAGGTGACACAATCTTTTTCTTCTCCCTTCCTACACTGAAAAGGTTACTAATTCTCATGTCTCACTCAGAGTCATTCCTCATGAATCTGTGGTTAAAGAATGTGCCTGTCACTCTTCAGAGCTGAGAACAGAAACTGATGTGTAATGGAGGTAATTCAGCAAAGTGCAGAACATACAGAATGCCCTTCTGACTTTAGGAGAGGAGCACATGTCTTGCTCTTTTTGTACCTAAATGTGCCTCTAACATCTCAGTGGGATTTTTCAATTGTTATAGTTAATATATTAAACAGTTTTAACCAGAGAGGCTCAATCTGCATTCATTTCTCATTTCCATTCTTTTTCCCTTCTTTTTATTTACATACATGAATTGTATAAAAAATATTTCTTTTATTTTGTAATTTCCATATCACATGCAATATATTTTAATAATTTTACCTTCTCTGTTGCTCTGTTGTCTTTTGACTTATCTCCCCTTTTGAAAAATGTTTTAAGGGAATGCATTATGCTATTTTGATGCATATAATATATGCTGATCATATTTACTTTACATCACTCTGACCTTTTTTCACCTTATCTCCACTGGTTCCTTTCTCCAAACAGTCCTCTTATTATATTCATTCATGATACATTTAAACATATATATACATATACACACATATATCCATATTTTTTAAGGTTTAGATGCCAGAGATGAGAGAGAACATGCAAGATTTCTCTTTCCAAGTCTACTTATCTGGCATAAAATGATGGTCTCCGTTTCCATCTGTTTTCCTGCAAATGACATAATTTAATTTTCCTTATGGCTAAATGATTCTGATTGTGTTGGTTGGCTGTTGTGAATGTTGTTGTAATAAATATTCATGTGTGGGTATCTCTAATGTTAACTTACATTCTTTAGCATAGCAGGATCATGGCTGCTTGTCAGAGTCAAAAGATGCAAATGTCCAAATTCCTTGGAAATTTCATATATGAAAAGAAGAAACACAGTTATAAAACTGTTGAGGAATGACTATGTTACCACCACTATTTCATGGCATAAAACATTTAAAATATAAAAATTTAAAACATGTATAATAAATCTTTTGTTCTTTTTTAGCATTTGAATTTCTCAGTATAATGTGAATTCTACATTACGTTTATTCTCTGAAGTTTAGGTGCCAATGAATAGATTTAACTCTATCATAAAATCTATATGATTTTATGTAAGTGGAGTTATTACTGATTACTTTTTGGTTGTTTTTATAAGAGTCTCATATAATATCTGTCCAGATTCCCTTAGAAATAACTTTCATGCTGAAAAGATTATCTCTGAGAACTTTAAACAAGATTCTGTGCCCAAATGTGCTATGTCTAACCAAAGGTTTGGGTTTATGCTTGAGCTAGCCTTGACTATGACTTCCTATTTATTCATCTCTGCATTGTTGACATGACAGACATGAGCCACCACACCCAGCCATTGTGTTTCCCTCTGTCACTGGGACATGGGTCTGCATCCCTTCATTCAGCCAAGGTCAAGATAAAGTCTTACTAACTTATTTTTTTTTACCTTTTTTGGTTAAAGGATGCCCTTTAAACATGATTATACAATATCTGTATCTCAAGGAAATTATAGTTACAAACTTGAGCCTCTGTGCTTGGCATGTTTTGCTTTCTTTCTTTTTTATGGGGGGGGATGTCCAGATGTGGGGCCTGAACTCTGGGCCTGGGTGCTGTCCTCAGCTGTTCAGCTCAAGGCTAGCGCTCTACCACTTGAGCCACAGCGCCACTTCTGGCTTTTTTTTCTTTTTGCTTATGTGGTACTGAGGAATCGAACCCAGGGCCTCATGCATGTAAGGCAAGCGCTCTACCACTGAGCCACCTTCCCAGCCCCTGTTTTGCTTTCTTTTAATCACAGACCAAAAAGTTAATGAGCATTGTTATACGAATATCACAAAACTAGAATAAAAAATGTTTTTGAAAAGCAGGGAAATCAGTCTAAACATTTGCCTTTGATAAGGCAGTGTCTTCATACTGAAAATTTTGACCCTTATCTCCTACAATGTGAAGTTTCTAGAGGCATTTTCTGAGCCTGGGGAGGATTCTATTATACCAAAGTGCGAGATGAACCCAAAAGGTGGACTATTACTTTACTGGAGAATGCCTTCTGCTGTTTTAGGGCAGTTTATTTGCCAAAGAGCTCAGGCTTATCAGGCCCAACCATAATCAAGAGATGTTTTTAGATTTTCTTTCCCACAATCACATCCTCTTCATTTCCAACTATCTGTGCATGTCACCAGTCTAGACAATCTATTCATGTCTATTCATGTAGCCCATGAAATTGTTCAAGAGCTATCCAGAATCCATGCTTAAGACCAAAATTTCTGCTCCTCTTGCCTATTTGATACCTAATACAATTTCTACTATACTTCTCACAAAAATACTTCTTTGAAATTACACTGTCAGAGTTTACTTTTTCTATGATAACAGGCAGCAAGGTTGAAGCTTCTGTTATCACATGTTAAAAGAGAGAGGCATACCTTTTTCCCTCAGAAAATAAGCTATGATTGTTGCATTTGCAATCTATGGATTAGAGTTTTAAGGATTTATTATTGGTTAATTGTATTATTACTAGTTATATAAAAAAGAGATATTCAAAATAACAATAACAGCATTGACAACATAAATTATAATGTACAAAATTCAAAAATAAGCTTTATATCCAAATATACATTATGTCCAATATTCCTAACTGTATAAGTTTTGATATGAATTTTTAGGATCAAATATCTTAAAT